AGTAAATGTCAGATGATCATTCAATTAATAAAACATTTTATTATTATTTCGCCAGAGATTAATCCAAGAGAAAAATGAAGAGACAAATCAGGCGTTGTTTTTTCACCTTGTATTATTGATGATACTAACTTTTATCAATCGATATTGGTCCCGGTCGAGCGTAAGTCATTCTTTCTATTTTCATTCTTTGCAGCATCAATTCGATCAGTAATTATCATTTTAAAAATAAAATTAATATACATTTTGTTCATTTTTCTCTATTAGATATTAAGGAGAAAATAATATTTGTTCCAAAGAGTATCAAAATGATTTCAAAAGATGAAAGTTTTTCAATATCAAGTTCAGCAAATTTTTACAATTTTTATGTCCTATCGGCATAGAAAAATTCCTATCATGAAATAGTTCAAATTATTATCCTATCCAAAATAAAAGGCAGGTTACCATTTTTCGAATAACTTTTGATAGAAGTGAAGTTGAAAGCTGTGATTTTGACGATTCGAAAGAACGATGTCTGAGTCATTGATCGGTATAGACATCTCGCCTTTTTCGCTATAAAATCAAAACTTTTCTTTTTAAAATCCGCTTAGAATAAGAGATGAGTTCTATGCCGATTAGTGATCGCTCTTTTGAATGGTCAAAACCGTAGCTCTCTATTTCATTCCTACGAAAAGTTATTCGAGAAATGATAACTTGCCTTTTATTTTGGATCGGATAATAGATATGATTTAAAACAATGAATACAATTAATGTTCAGTACTTTTTGAAAAGCTACTTTTTCGAAATCAGAAAGATCGAAGCGAGCAAATTTTTTTTTTTCAAAAACAAATTGAGAAGTTTATTAGAACTCAGTTATTAATTACAATTGAAATAGCTTGTCGCAATTTTGATTTGTTATAATTTGGGTGTGGATGTTTTCTGAAAACATTTGATAGGAACTAGATAAAGATCTGTGGTTTTCACTGTTTAAAAGAGGAGATGACACTGCATTGAGTCTCGAATATTAGACTTTTCTGATAAGTTTTCTCAGGATCTTCTATCAAGTATTTTAATTTTCAGTAGTGCACTAGAATCATTAAATAAAGTTGAATAATCTATGAAAGTTTGATATCAACAGGTTTCGTCAGTCATGAGATATTAACATTTTTTACTACGTGTTATCAGCAGATTTTCCAAGAAAAATTGATTTTCTTTCTAATTTTGTTTTGACGCAAAACTTAACTTCTAAACCTATTTAAAAGTCTCGATTTTAAAAAAAAGTCTTTACGAAAATCTCTGAGAAAACTTATCAAAAAAGTCTGATATTCAAGAATCGATGCACTTTCATCTGCTCTTTTAAACAGTGAAAATCTCAGATCTCTATCTAGTTCTAATCAAAAACTTATTCAAAAAACATAGTCGTATCCATTACTTTTTGAAAACGACCATAGTACATCTAGTTTATGAACTAAGAAATTTATCAATCTTTTCACTAAAAATGAAATAATTGATTAAATGTGACCGAACTATTCAATTTTTATTTGCGAACTTTTTTAAAATTATTTTAAGATTATCTGAAAAGTTAATAGGACATCATAGATAACGTACATTACTTTTGTCTTCGAAAAAAAAGACTAACTTTGTGAATAAAGAATGCTCTTATGAAAATTATATTTTTTTTGCATCAACAATCAATTACATAGAAAATAAAATAAATATGAAAAAGAAACTTAATGAAAGATTAATTAACAGATAGTATATTACGAACTATCAGAATAGAACGGCTCATGATAGGAGGCAGAATTTTAATACATTACAAAAAAAAAATATTAAAATCACAAAGAAGTGATATTTTTTCATTTCAAAAAAAAGCGTCAACTTTGCTTAATGATTTATTTTCAAAAGTTATTTATTAATTCAAATAAATTCATACAATGTAATTTAAGAAAAATAACTAAATACGGATTTTACTAATGTTTTCATCAGTTTTCAGAATGTTATACTCTTTAGGGAAATAAAACATATTATCAATAACTGAAAAATGCAATACAAAAAGAGAAAATAAAATTCATTTGAATAAAATATAATATCGAATCGATTAGAAAGTCATTTTTGAGAATTTATTTCATTAAAGCGTCATTTTTCATGATTTATTCTTGTTCAAAAAAAAGCATGAAAACTTGACATACATCGACACTCAGTCTATCGCACAAGACATCTTCATATGCATTCCTATAGACCATTTTTCTAATAAAGTCATTATCAAAACAGTGACGTATCCAGGATTTTTCAGTATGTTGAATCTCGATTTCTGAGCATGGGATTCAGATAAAACTCATGGAGGGTGGTGTTGGATCTAAATGATGGAATTTTATCAAAAAAAATTTGCACTCTGAGATTGCGAAAAAAATTAGCATTTTTCTGATCTCTTCCCTCTAAAATTTTTTGCTCTTAGGAGTATCCCGGTTTTTAGAATTTCGTAGGAAGCTACACCGAATTTCATTAATAGATTTCAAATTTCGTCTAAAAATATGCAACCGTTCCAGAGCTATGACGTTTTGAATTTTTGCTACATGTCAAAACAATTTTTGCATAATTTCAAAATGTCATAACTCTGGAACGATTGCATATTTTTAGACGAGATTTGAAATCTACCGATGAAATTCGGTGTAGCGTCCTATGGAATTCTAAAAATCATGATACTCCTAAGAGCAAAAAATTTTAGAGGGAGGCGATCAGGAAAATGCTAATTTTTTTCGCAAACTCCAAGCACAATTTTTCTTTGATAAAATTCCATCATTTAGATCCAACACCACCACCATGAGTTTTATCTGGATCCCATGCTCAGAAATCGAGATTCAACATACAGAAAAATCCTGGATACGTCACTGTATCAAAAGTCTACGAAAAAGAAATCAAAATGCGAAAGTTTTTATATTGCGCTATACATGTTTTTTTTTATAACTACAAAGAATCCTTGGAGCTCGAATTATATCAGAGATCAGAACTATCATCTTGATATTTGCCAATCGCCCATATTCAAAAAAGACGGCGACTACTGTTCGGGACCTTTCTTTTGAAAACTATTCCGAAAGTATATTCTATTTCATATAAAACATCATACTTTCTATCTTTCATTAAAAACGATCACATCATATACACTAAGAGAGTGTCTACCGTGTAGACGATTCTACTATAATGTTAAATCTAATGTTTATGATTAGTACACAATTTCAATGATAATTTTTGAATAATCATGAATTTTTTTGTCTGGAACAATTTCTATGTGAAATGGATAAACATCTTTATTTAAAATTCAATAAAAGATACATAGTTAGTATACATTTATATAAAGATTACAATAAAAACAAAATGAGTGTTTTGTTAATTTTCAGTGATTAATAATATTTATAATTCAAAAAAAAACGAATAATATCTCAAATAAATAAAGTGATTTAAGAATGTCCTCATATATATAAGTCATATGATAAAATTTTTATTCTAATATATTATGTAGTCAATAAAGAGATGCTTTAAAATAATTTTCATATTTAAGATGAAATAGCTTCAGAATTATTCATAAGGTTTCAATCTTCAAGATGATCTTATTCGATTATTTTTTTTTCGTATTACATGAATGAAATAATTTACTAATGAAATTATCAATTGCATAGAAAATGAACAATTCTAAAATATCTATACATATACAATGTAACTTCAACATCAATAATTATAATCAATTTGTTTTTATTCAATATCACATAGATTATAAATTATTCTTAAGATTGTCATGAGATTGACGACGAGCATGAATATGTTTGTAAATTATGATGTCATTGTAAAACAAATTTATAATAATATCTATGATCTATATTCTTCTCAAATATGAACTATTTTAATTAAGATATAATTCAAATATTTTGTATATTATGAAAAGAAATATTTTTCTTATTATAATAGTCAATAGTATTAAAAGTTAAACATATATGTCTAAAGTTGACGACCATTGTTAGCATTATGATGTTGTTTAGAAAGCTTTTGAAGTTCAAGCCTATTTAATAGGTCAGTTATTGTTGACAAATTTTCATCAAGCCAATTATCAATTAGTTCAATAGTAGCCTCATCTATAGGAATTGATGAGGAGATTTCATCACGTTCTTGAAGTTCTTTTGTAACAAGTGCTCCTAGTAATTGACGAGCAGTGAATGGTTTTTTCATGACTTTATCCAATGCATCATTATTAATGTTTTCAAAATTAATTTGTCGTGCCATTGAATTTGTAATAATCAATACCAATAGTATAATTGAAACTATGTATTGGTTCATGATGATGAAAATATTTACTGTTGAAATTATGAATATTACAGATAGATGTAAAATGTAACGATATGTGTTTATTTTTTGTTGTTTTATACGTAGCGATAAAAGAAAAACTATTTTTTCTCGTTTTGCTTCGAAAGAAATTATCAAACCGTGTCTAGTGTATGAATAATTTAGTAATTTATAGATTTTTATGGAATATTAAAAAGGACATCCGATTAAAAAAAAAGCAGTTGAAAGAAGAGAGTGGGCTGAAAAAAAAAGTGATTACTTCTTTCGATAAAATTAATTACAAAAGACAAGGTTGTGATATTCTTCAAAATATACATAATCTTTATGCATATGTCATTTCACCTGTACATAATTAAGTAATTAAATTGCAAAAATCAATTACTATCTAGATAGACAAGAACATTTGTATGCTTAAGTGAAAGTTGATGACATCTAAAAACATTTATATTTCATTTTTAGAGAAAAAAAAATATCATTCTAGTTGCGTATGTTTGTGTTGTGTCATTAGTGAGTTTATATGATAGTCAGTTCGTTCGAAAGATATAAAATTATAATTGAGAAGTAATATCTAAATTATTATTTAACAAAAATTATATTCAATTTGCATCAATTGTAAGAAAATATGAAGCTGTTAAAATATTGAAAAACTTTTATAGAAGTCATTTTTTTTGACCAGTGATGGAACAAGAATTAATCACTCTGTATTTATGAATATCTTTGTTAGTGTTTAATGCTTTGACTTGATTTTTTTTGTCAAAAGATAACCTATAAAATTCTTTACAAGATTCAAAAAAACAACAGCTCTTCAAAATCATAATCCAAAAATCATATTTAAAGTAGCAGCACTATATTTCAGAAAGATCCATTTTCAAAGACAGATTTTTTCTTACAAAAATAAATCATTTTTCTTCTTCTAACTAAATATGTTTCAGACCATTTTAAGTTACTCTTATCAAAAACTTTTTTTTTTCTTAAACTTTGTAGAGAATGACATGAAGTACAGAAAATAAGTATAAAATGACTTTGATTAAAGTAATGTCTTACAATTCATGTGAATTGAATACAACTTGTGTTCCATAGTAACTTGAATGTTACTCTTCAAATATATATATCCAGTATGTCTCCAGCTTTGACAATGACAAAGATACAAAAAAAAAACCAATGAAACCGTTACTTATGGAACACTCTTTAGACTAAATCAATTTATGGTAGTTGATGAAGATCTAATAAAAGAACATTTATTGAGTTTGTTAAATATTGAAACTTGTAAAATTATTGTCGGATATCAGTGATGATACACAAATGACTACCATTCACGCCGACACTTGTACATTGACCATGAATCGTCTATGCAACGAATCGTTCAGTTGCTTTCATTTACTACTAGCGTACAGTACATATTACTTAGAATTAAAATTCATTGTATAAATGAATCTTTAGCATTTTTCTAAATATCATTTTATTAAGTAAAAAAAAAATGTATTCTTTCTGTTTATGTTTAAAAAAAACTTTCAAATTTTCTACATAAATCAGTTTTTATCTTAGTGTTGTTTGCCGATACTTGTAGGAACATGAGGTAATTTATCTAATTGACTGAAAAGCCAATCCACAATCCAAGCAGGTAAATTCGAAATCGGAAAGAAAATAAGACTTGCTTGCCATCCAGGTCGATAACGAATACGAGGAACAGTATTCATAACAGCATGTTGAAGAGCTCGAACAACTTTCATAGGATCTTCAGCATACTTTACGAACAAATTATTCGACATCATCTTATTGTATGCTCTAAGAAAATCTTCTCCCCATCGTTCTTGAGCATCATTTGAAAGTTGACTCCACAAATCTTCAAATGATTTAGGACCTGATTCGATAATAGGTGTTCGCATAAATGCTGGTTCAATAATACTAACACGTAAACCCCATGGAACCATTTCTCGACGTAAACAATCCGAAAATGATTCTAGAGCATATTTCGATGCACAATACGCAGACATACTTGCTGATGCAAGATAACCAGCTACTGAACAAATATTAACAACACGTGAATCACGTTTAGCAATAAGTAACGGTAAAAACTTTTTTGTCATTGCAACATGTCCAAAATAGTTCACATCCATAACTTTACGCATATCTTCCATTGATGCCCAATCGATATTACCCAAAATAGCTATCCCTGCATTATTAACAAGTGCATGAAGAACTTTTGTTTTTTTGTTGACTAATTCAAATGCACTATCAATATCTTCTTGTTTAGTAATATCAAGACGAAAAACTGTAGCTTTTGATGAAAGTTTTTCTCTAAGAACAGTTACGTTGTCAGGAAGGTAGACACCAGCAAGAACATTGAAACCTTGTTTATCAAGTTCAATAGCTAATCCATGACCAAATCCACTATCACAACCACTAATAAGAACATATTTACCATTAGAATTAATGTTTGGTGTTGGAAAAAAATGTTGATATAAACGATAAAAGATATAAGGGATGATTATAAAACCAATAAGGAGACACATGGTGACACTGTAAAGACGAATGAAGAAAAAACACAACTATCGTTCTTTTTGTTTTATTCTCTTTCTAATCTAATGTTACTGTCACAATAATCACAACCTCGAAGCGAGAGTACTGTGTGAAAGAACGCAATGCACATTTTGTTTTATAATATCCATAGCATTTCTTTATCAATTTTTTTGATATATATGTGGGTCACTGAAAAAACATGATGTGTCAATATGTATTTCGATCTTTCATCTTTTTTACAAAGGTCGCAGAGATAAAAAAAAAGTAATAATGAAAAGAAATGATGAGAATCATATTGAGTGATTTATAAAAGTGTCAAATTTAGATGAATACAACTTTTATTTGATTAAAAATAAAAGCAGTTAATTCTTCTTTTTTTTATGAAAAATATACATATCATATTCATTGTGCTGTTAGTAGTGATGTGCACTCAAACTCGGTGAGATATGTCATAAGATTTTATAACCATTCCACTGTTTTCGAAAACAAAAACGAAGAATACCTGTGTCATTTTGTTCTGTTAAGATAATGACGATAGGCGAATAGAAAACTGTAGAAAGGGCATAAAAACAAGATTTGTATGTTAATCAAGTTAATAATAACTTCGAAGATCAATATTTATTATAGCGCATACATACAGTCACGACGAAACGCATTTCAAACATACGTAAACTAGGCTTTTTTTTCAAATGTAAACGTCTGCATTACGCATCCAAATAGATTTCAAATGCATTCTAATTAATACATTGGTTCTATATTCTCCTTGATGCTCTACAGTTTAAGATATGTTTCTCAATGTAACTCGGTCATCTTCATAATGTCATTACGACAGATTTAGACAACTTGGTTTCTCTAAGCTATTACATTCTTTCGAGCATCGAAAATCATTTAACTCATTCGTGCCGATTGTAACGATCGTTGAAAGCAATGCTCAAACAAAAAATGTTGTGTTTTTATCAGAAGGTGCAATTGTACATTTGTCATATAAGTTACTTCCTTACAATAGCTAACGAAAAACTATATCTGAATAGTTGTTCTATAGGACTCATAATACCAAGTGTTGTATATCTCAAAATACTTTAGAATGTCTATGGTAGTTTCAGTGTTGACAAAGATTTCTTCCAGCTGTGATATATCTAAATACGTTTATGAAAATTTGTGCTTAATATATGCATAAAAGCAGCTATTCTTGAACGAATAACAATCTCAACTAATTTGATTCTTTTGATTTTCAGCTCACAAACAAGGAACAAAGCAAAACTATTCTCATTGCCTTAAAACTCTATAAAATATTTGCTATATACATGTAGACGTATTTATATTCGATGTGAAGTCATGTAGTATTGGTAGAAGAAATTCAACAAATATGTTAAGCTTATTAGTCAGTTCTCTGCCTTGTATCTCTCAAAACTCATGATCGAGTCTCAAATGAAGAGAAAAAGTCAATCAATACCATTACATAACTTTCTTGTTCATAACAGAAATCCTGATTTATTGATGCATATGTTTATAAACATTTTAAAAGCACAATAGTAATTTAGTATATTTTACATACAATAGGAATTTCATATGAACACATGCTAAGGTGAACATTTTCTCTTTGTCATAGTTTTCTCACAGTTATAAAGTTAGTCATTTATACGTGAGATAACAAAAATCGACAAGCATCTATGAATAAAATACTTCATACACAATTCACATGCATGTTTGACATGAAAACCTAATTGATCAAATAAATATAAAATATTTCTTTTCTAAATATTTATTTCTAATAAATAAAACCAAAAAAATGCTTTGCTTGTTTATTTCGCTAACTATAACCGTTTAATCTTTCAGTTGTTGAGAAACAAATGCAGGAACATGATGTGATTTATCTAATTGACTGAAAAGCCAATCCACAATCCAAGCAGGTAAATTCGAAATCGGAAAGAAAATAAGACTTGCTTGCCATCCAGGTCGATAACGAATACGAGGAGCTGTATTTATAACAGCATGTTGAACAGCTCGAATGACTTTCATAGGATCTTCAGCATATTTCCAAAATGGGTTGTTTTTTTTTGTATCAAATGTAGCCTTAATAAAATCTTCTCCCCATCGTTCTTGAGCATCACTGGAAACCGTGCGACGAAAATCTGGAAATGTTTGAGGACCAGATTGAAGAATAGGTGTTCGCATTGCACCGGGCTCAATAATACTAACATGTAAACCCCATGGAACCATTTCTCGACGTAAACAATCTGAAAATGATTCAAAGGCATATTTTGATGCACAATAAGCAGATCCACTTGGTAATGAGAGATAACCGGCTGCAGAACAAATATTAACAACACGTGAATCACGTTTAGCAATAAGTAATGGTAAAAATTTCTTTGTCATTGCAACCTGTCCAAAGTAATTCACATCCATAATTTTACGCATATCTTCCATTGATGTCCAATCAATATGACCAGCTACACCTATACCAGCATTGTTAATAAGTGCATGAAGAACTTTTGTTTTTTTGTTGACTAATTCAAATGCACCATCAATATCTTCTTGTTTAGTAATATCAAGAAGAAAAACTGTAGCTTTCGGTGAAAGTTTTTCTTTAAGAGAAGCAACATTGTCAGAAAGAAAGACACCAGCAAGAACATTGAAACCTTGTTTATCAAGTTCAATAGCTAATCCATGACCAAATCCACTATCACAACCACTAATAAGAACATATTTACCATTAGGATTGATATTTGGTGTTGGAAAAAAATGTTGATACAAACGATAAAATATATATAGTATAATGATAAAACCAACAAGGAGGCACATCATGGCGCTGTAATGATGAATGGAGAAAAAATGCAACTAACGTTCTTTTTTTTTCTTTTGCTAACTTAGTGTTATTATTAGCATAATAACAATGTCTAGCCGAGATCACTGCGTGGAAGAAAGCAAAACACATTTTGTTCTGTAAATATTCATGCAATGTCTACATCCTTCCTTTTTTTTTCTTTTCCTGATATATACGCTACTGATAGAGAAAACATTACGGGTCAATAAGTACTCAATCTTTCATCTTGTTTTTGCTAAGTTCAACGAGTAAAAGAAAAAAAGTAAAAAATGAGAAAAATAATGAGAATAATGTTGAATGATTTATACTAGTATCCAATTCAGATGAATTCATTTTACGTGTTTGATTTTATTTGATGAAAAATGAAAGCACTCAGTTCTTTTTTATAGAAAGTGTAGTATGACACTAATATACTACTAACAGTGACGTACACTCAAATTTGTATATATACAGTTATGTTCAAAATTGATCATATACTCTACACAAAAACAGATAGATATTAAGCAACTAAAAGTTTCTCATTTCCTCTTTATGGATAAGAGACGGATTTTTTAAATATGTTAATTGAAGACTCAATTGAAATTTCATTGAAATGTTTTAGAAATCCGCTTTCTCGTTCAGAAGGATGAAATGAGAAACTTCCAATTGTTTAACATCTATCGGTATTTGTATGTAGTATATGATCAATTTTGAGCCAAACTCAAGCAGATAATCTTTACCATTGTTGATCTAACATAATAAATATGCAATTGAAAGAGATAAACTTTCAACGTATTCTTAGCTAATATTATCCAAGATACAATTATTCTAAAAACCATCATGTTCATAAAACGTTGAAAAATAAATGACAACAAAAAGTTTGTTGTCAAGGAGTTTTAGATAAAATATCAGAAAATTTGAGAAAAAAACAGCAGAATTCTAATAGCATTTGATCAGATAGGTATACGATTTTGTTTCCCGAACATTGAGATATGCCAAGACAAAATAGAACGCCATTTCTATTCATTTTTTTTAGTACTTCGCGAAGATGATGGATTTTAAAAGTAAATTTTTCTTATATAGTATCAAACAAGAAGATGTCCGATGTTCTTCTCTCTACATTGCTAAAAATTGAAGGTCACTCACTGTTGCTGTTGTCGAGTAATTGAGTATATACCCACCCTTGTTTATTTTTTTTTTTGAGCATTAGCCAGTTTCCTGCCTTCTACCTTTCAAAACTCATGATCGAATCTCATATGAAGAGAAATAGTTAACCAACACACCATGACTCAATTTTCTTTTTCTCAACACGAAATGTCTTATATCGTCACGTGCGTCTATATATATTTTACAACAAATTAAAATACTACAGTTTAGACGTAATAGGAGTTACGATCTCGAACTCGTAGATGTAAAATTAATCATTATACAACATATAAAAATAAATTTGATAATCAACAATGGTAAGAAGCAAGAACCATATACAATTCATATGCATCTTTGATATGAAATTTAACTGATCAAATAAATCTAAAATCTTTATTTTCGAAATATCGTTCTCTAATAAGTAACCAAAAATGTTCTTATTTTCTTAATATTTAGAAATATATTTTTTCAGTAATTAAGATAGTTGAATCTTGAAGTTGTTGAGAATATTTTAATGTACAATGAGCAAACATATGATATCGCGAAATAACTAGCTACAGAACAAATATTAACAACATGTGAATCACGTTTAACAATAAGTAAGGGTAAAAACTTCTTTAGTCATTGCAACATGTCTCTTGTTTAGTAATATCAAGACGAAAAACTGTAGCTTTTGATAAAAGTTTTTCTCTAAGAGAAGCTACACTGTTCGGAAGGTAGACACCAGAAAGAACATTAAAATCTTGTTTATCAAGTTCAATATCTAATCCATTACCAAATGCAGTATCACAACTACTAATAAAAACAAATTTACTATTAAGATTGATGTTTGATGTTGGAAAAAATATTGATATAAACGATAGAAGATATAACGAATAATTACAAAACAAATATGGATGAATATCATGATATTGTAAAGACCGATGAAAGAAAAACGCACTACTACAGTCGTTTTCTTTTACTATCAAATGCACTTGTCAAGGGGGATGATAGAGAGGAATCGACTACGTAGTGTTGAAGAACACTTGAACGTCTCTTATAATTCACAGCTATATGATTCATTTTCTTTTTTGCTTTTCCAGGAGTAACGCTCTGATTTCAAATGGCATCAATAACAAATTTTATATCAAATTAAAATGTATCAAAAATGAGATTTATGAATGCTGAATAGTAATGATTATGGCAAATATTCAGTGTCAAAGGCATGAAATTCCTACAATTTCACACCATATCACCAGAAAAGAATTCCTTTCATAAGGTAGTTCTAGTTAGATTTAACCCTTTGATTACCATAGCATAAAAAAGCTACATTTGTTTTATAATTATTTTTCACGGTATAATTTTTAAAAATTAGTATATGTAATCTCTTGGAAAAAAGTAATAATGACGGTGTGAATGTAGATTTAGAGATCGTCTTCACTCACACACCATAACCTTCGGCGATTAGAATTTCCATTCAAGCATAACAAAGTTCAATATAACTTATATTAAGTAAATCAGATGCGAGACTACATAAGGTATTTTTGACATATGTTCCTATGTCTAAAAAATGCTAATTTAACAATATACTCGAATTCAATGCAGCAAAAAATAGTTGGGTAATCCAAGGGTTAAGACTTTGAGGACATATTTTTCGGACTTTTGAAACTCAAGAATAATGTTGACTTCTCTCTTTTAATATTGTTTAAATCAAAAGATTTTAAACTATCCGTATAAAATATACTAATTATACGTGTACATATACGAAAAATTTATTGATTATGAAGAGTATTCGATATTTATCTACTTTAGACACAGGTCCCACCCTCATGCAGTGCAAGATGATGTGTTAGTCAAACCAATCAGCTCAAGTTCTATGTTAAATAGAGTCGAATCGTTCGAACTATCGATTTCTATTGAAAACCGGCGACGTAGGGTTCATCGTCATTACTTTCAAATTAGAATATATCTATTGATAATTTCAATAAAATTGTTTCATATAACTTTTCTTTTTCATAGCAGAATATATTACAATATCTTTCAGTTCGTATGTTGATGATTTCGCAAACTAGCAGGAATAAAACAATAGACTTTAGCTAGAAGTTTATCAGTTAACCAAGTAGGTGGCAAATAAAATACAATAAAAAATAATTTAGCTTGCCAACCAGGTCGATAACGAATACAAGGATTTATATTCATAACAGCATGTTGAACAGCTTGTACTACTCTTTTTGGATCATCGGGATGTTTCATAATAGGACTATTAATTCCTTGAATGATTAAATTATTTAAAAAATCAATTCCCCATCGTTCTTGAATATCTGTTGAAAGTTCATTCCATAAATTTTGTAAAATATATGCATAACCTTCATTCATAGGTGTTCGTAGAGTACCAGGTTCAATAATACTAATTTTTAAATCCCATGGAGACATTTCTCGACGAAGACAATCAGAAAATGATTCTAATGCATATTTTGATGTTGAATAAGCACATGTATTTGGAATAGCAAAGAAACCAGTAGCTGAACAAATATTTACTATACGACACTGACGTTTTGTTATAAGTAATGGTAAAAATTTTTTTGTCATTGCAACATGTCCAAAAAAGTTAACATTCATGATTTTACGCATTAATTCTAATGAAGTCCAATCAATATAACCATGTGTTATAATACCAGCATTATTTATAAGTGCATGAAGTGTATTAGTTTTTTTTTGTATTAATTCAAATGTTGCATTTATATCTTCTTCATTTGTAATATCCAGATGAAATATTGTAGCTTTTAGTGATAGTTTAGCTTTCAATAATATTATATTATCAGGTAGATATACACCTGCAAATACATTAAAGCCTTGTTTATCAAGTTCAATTGCTAATGCATGACCAACACCTGTATCACAACCACTTATAAGAACATATTTGTTGTGTGGATTGATAGTGGCTATAGTAAAAATGTGTTGATATAAACGATAGATAATGTATACTGATATACCAAGGCCAATAATTAAGAACATTATTATTTGTCTATGAAAATATCATAATAGAAAATGGTGGTTGACCCTTATTTTTTTTTTTTTATCTTTCTAAAAAATCTAAATAAAAATATATGCATCGACATGCAAACATGAAATAACATGCGCGTTTTTTGTTTTCTTACCAAGTTGTTGCTTTCTACGTGACATTGTATACTTCTATCATCATATAGAAAAAACAACATGCGCTGCAGGAAGACAAAAAAATTCGTTTTTGTTCGAGTAAAAAAAAACACAATTATATTTATCCAACATGTGATGAATGTAGTAAAAATGAAAAATTTCCTGCGATAATCTCTTTCATATTGAAACAAGCAATTTAATGATAACTCGTGAATAGGATGAGTAATAGAGCAATACTCTATGATATTCGCGGTGTAATTCATACAAAATAGTATTCATGATGGTAATAATTACTTTCTCGTATGTTTGAGTGATAAGGCAGCTTTGGTCTAGTCCAATCTAAATTTTTCTAATTCATAAAATTGTTTTGATTTCTTGAAAAAAAACCTTCTAATTAAAGTTTAAAAAAAAGAAAATGAGATGCAAGAGAAGACCGCTCTTATCTCCTGTATAAATATGATATATGAAAATATAATAACCCAACAAATATCTGATAAACAATGAGAAGCTAAGTTTTATTCCTATTTATTTATTGTTTTATTTGTTTCCACTTGAATCAACAGATAAAATAGCCAAAAAACAACAAGATTAAAATGTATATATCCTTTAAATATTTCTGATTTTTTTATATGCAAATAAACAATCATATTTAGAATAATTATTTTAATGTAAATATTTTAAATAATTTATCGACTATACTTTTACTTCTTTCAACAATCTTATCGATACAAATAGAGAATTTTCTGGTTATATGTCACAATGGTTCAGGTCAAGATTTCATAGATTTTATTGATGAATATATTAATACGAAGTATTCTACTCCAGTTACAAAAAATCTCACTGCCAAGTAAAAAGCACCTGCAATTTAATATTTTAATCTCATACTTCGAGTATAAGTAGAGCATCCTTCACCAGTTCCAAGAGTTAATTACAAGTAAATCGGCTTCCATTCGGAGGACATAAAGGAATCAACAAAGAGTTTGTTCTTCACACTTAGATGTCTCAGTGCTGTCACTATCATCACTTGAAATTCTATATCAAACGGTTCTAATTTGTGTGATTAATGAAGTAATACTTTGGTTAATTTTCAGGTGAGAACTATGAAATCGTTGAAGAGTGACCCATATTTTCAACTTATTTTGGTCGTTTACTTTGAAATTTTCTCGAATGAGTTTCCTACTCTAATTAACTTTTTCTTGAGAATTTCACAATCGTAACTACCGATAAAGAAGAAATCCAATTGAAGAAGTAAAAAAACCGAAAAAATGTTAAAACGGTCTTTGTTGTATCTTTGGAAAAACAATAATGTTTGCATCATAAATCCTTTGCATTAAATTCTATCCACATCAGAGTTTTACTGAGCTCTGCTTCCAGTCGAAATATCAGGCACATGATTTCAACTTGATGTAAGTTTTACTCGTCAACAAAACTTCTTACGACTACTGTATTTATACTAGGCATTAATAACAAAAATGTATGTATTCGGCAGATGATATCATTATAAGGAAAATAAATAAATTTCATAAACTTGTTAGCAGAGTTAGAAAGATTGAATTTGAATATATTGATTAGGTTACAGTAGAATTTATGATTTAAATAATGGATGGGAATTTTTTTTTTGCAGACACGTCTCAATGAAAAGAAAATATTCACTAAATAGAACTAATTGTTAAATGAGGTTCTGGTATGGTTGATATGATTTTAATATTTGAATCCTTTTTAGATTATCTTCATCAAAAATTCATTTGATGAAGTTGACATATTAGTATTACTGAAATAAATTTTGTACGATATTCACTCGTGATGGTTTATAATTATCTTGGTGATATTATCATAGTTAAATTGAGCAGTTAAACAGTGTTTCATGATGACTTAAGAAAACCACTGATGAACTAAAAACACTTTATTGAAGAAAAAGAACTTTATTGTAGTGATTGATTACAGAGTGATATCATTTTATGAAAGAGAATAATTTTCAATTTATAATAACTGTAGTTAGATAATAGCCTTTTACTTTTTTTTCTGTTTTTGTATACAAACTTGACTTCCTAATTATTCTTTGAATACAAAATATATCTTTACTTTTAAAACTTTACCATTTTGTATTCTTACAAATTTAGAAATAATACTACGAGAAAATACATAAACATATAGACGGATAAGGGCATACCATAATAAAATAGATATGAAGAAAGGAGAAAAAAAAATTATACAAGCATCTACGATAATAGAAATGTCGAGGCGTTCTTTAATACTGTATAGGCCGACTCGTTGCCTTTACCATTCTTAATATATCAGTTAGATCGCGAAAGGAAACAACGTCAGTTGTGTTTTTATTTCTCCATTTGTCTTTATTAGCTATGCTGTGTCTTCTTATTGGTTTTATAATAATCCTTTATATCTTCTATCGTTTATATCAACATTTTTTTCCAACACCAAACATTAATCCTAATGGTAAATATGTTCTTATTAGTGGTTGTGATAGTGGATTTGGTCATGGATTAGCTATTGAACTTGATAAACAAGGTTTCAATGTTCTTGCTGGTGTTTATATTTCTGATAATGTTGCTTCTCTTAAAGAAAAACTTTCATCAAAAGCTACAGTTTTTCGTCTTGATATTACTAAACAAGAAGATATTGATAGTGCATTTGAATTAGTCAACAAGAAAACAAAAGTTCTTCATGCACTTGTTAATAATGCTGGTATAGGTGTGACTGGTCATATTGATTGGACATCAATGGAAGATATGCGTAAAGTTATGGATGTAAATTACTTTGGACATGTTGCAATGACAAAGAAGTATTTACCTTTACTTATTGCTAAACGTGATTCACGTGTTGTTAATATTTGTTCTGCAGTTAATTACATAACATTACCCAGTGGATCTGCTTATTGTGCATCAAAATATGCCTTTGAATCATTTTCGGATTGTTTACGTCGAGAAATGGCTCCATGGGGTTTACGTGTTTGTATTATTGAACCTGGATTTATGCGAACACCTATTCTTGAATCAGGTCCTAAATCATTTTTGGAATTGTGGAATACGCTTACAAGTGATGTTAGAGAGAGATGGGGCGAAGATTTTCTTAAAACGGGATTTAGTACCATAAAACAGAACCCATTATACAAACATGCTGAAGATCCTATGAAAGTCATTCGAGTTCTTCAACATGCTGTTATGAATACAGATCCACATATTCGTTATCGACCTGGATGGCAATCAAGTCTTATTTTCTTTCCGATTTCGAATTTACCTACTTGGATTGTGGATTGGATTTTCAGTAAATTAGATAAATCACCACATATTCCTGTATTTGTTTCTCAACAACTTAAAGACTAAACTAGTTTAATTAGTAAACATATATAAACCCTTCTAACTATAAACGAGCAGAGAACTTTTTTTTTTGTTTTCACTAGAATAAAGATATTTTGAAAATAAAGCTTTTAGATTCATCAGATTAATCACGTTTAAGTACAACATACATGTGATGAACGTATCAAACATTCTATTAATAATTTAATCAATATCTCAATTACGTTTTTTGCAATCATTATGCTTTTGGTGTTGCTTTTTTTTTCTTGCTTTTTATCACGATTCATTGTCAAACTTATTTATGTACGCTATATAATGATTAATTTTGCATGTACGATAAAACGATGACAAGGAAACCTTTATCTAAAGTATGTGTTCATATGATAACTCGTAATATATTACAACGTATACAGAAAGGTGTGCCGATACATTATGAAATTTATGTCGAGAAAACAAAAATTAACTATGGTGTTAGTTGACATTTTAGAGATAGAAAATAGAGCATTATAATAATTAACTTTACATGATCATTGAATTTCGTGTATCAATGTGACTTGACTTCATGTTGATAACACAAGCTTCTGCTTGTATACTAAATGTCTTATAAACTTTTATAAAAGTGAGAATATGTTTGTTTTTTTTTCTTTTGTATCAATTATATCTAAAATACATCGTAGAATTTAACACTGGATTCAAACAATGAAGATAATTATTACAGATACTTGATTGTAGCAAATCAAAAGAATCAAATTAACTCAGCTGTTTACTCGCGAGCAAAGATCGCTGCTTTTGTGTATATATTAAGTATAAATGTTCATGAACGTATATAAGTTTCATAACTTGATTGAAGCTTTGACAATAGAAGAAGCATCATGGGTATTCTGAACTATTCTGATATATAAAATATTTCATGTCATATGTCCTAGACAATGGTTATTGGAATATATTTTTTGTTACTGATTGAGAGGAACTAACTTATCTAAGAAATAATTAAACACTTATTACTTCTAGATAGAACACATGATAATTTTTCACCATTATTTTCAGTGATCATCACATTAAGACATCATTTAATGAAATGACTTGCAATCCTCAAATGAATTTAATTTCTTGAAGCTGAAAATTCTTTTAAATTTATCATAGTCCTATAATGAAGACGACTGAGTTACATTTAAATACTTAGCTAAAAAAAACCACAGCATCCAGAAAGATATAGAACAAGTGTATGAAGGACATCATTTTAGCATAAAACACTTACCTGTAATCAAGTAAAACACTCACTAACTCGAATGTCTTTGTAATCAAGTCTTGTTTAGGTTACTTTAATATGTGTTTCACTACTTCTCTATATATGCTATTGTAGACATTCTTTGCATTTGTTATTCAGTTGATTGAGAGTTCAAAACTTGCTTGTTTTTGAAGTTACTCGAGTTTTCGGCTCATGTATCTTCAATATCTTAAAAAATCAAATTGCATAAGTAATCTTCGTTTTACTTTTTGAAAACAATAAAGCAGTTATAAAATCTCATGATATTAATCAGTCTGAGTGAATGTGATTTTTAATAACATATTACGTATTATGATGTTTGCATTGTCCATAAAAAAGCATTGGCTACTTTTTTCATCAATTTATATCCAATATATAAGATGTATTCATTTGAATTGAACTTTTTTGTGTACCATTCAATATTATTCTGATCATTCCTTTTTAGTTCTACTTATTTTTTTTTGTCTCTGCGAACTACTTATTGATAGGTAGTAATTTTTCTCTATGATCTACATACATATCGCAAAAAATACGAAGAAAAAAATAATAGATAAATATTATGAGTATTTATAGAAAAAAAATGTGCTTTTGCGTTCTGCCGCACGATGCTCTTGATTCAATGTTGCTATTATTGTAGCAGCAGTACTAGGTTAGAAAGAGTATAAAAAGAACGTCGCTTATTTGTTTTTATCTTCATTTGTATTTACTAACTATGCTGTGCCTTCTCATTGGTTTTATAATCGTTCTTTATGTCTTCTATCGTTCATATCAACATTTTTTTCCAACACCAAATATCAATCCTAATAATAAATATGTTCTTATTAGTGGTTGTGATAGTGGATTTGGTCATGAATTAGCTATTGAACTTGATAAACAAGGTTTCAATGTTCTTGCTGGTGTCTTCCTTCCTGACAATGTAGCGTTTCTCAGAGAAAAACTTTCATCAAAAGCTACAGTTTTTCGTCTTGATATTACTAAACAAGAAGATATTGATAGTGCATTTGAATTAGTCAACAAGAAAACAAAAGTTCTTCATGCACTTGTTAATAATGCTGGAATTGCTGTTGGGGGTCATATCGATTGGACATCAATGGAAGATATGCGTAAAGTTATGGATGTAAATTACTTTGGACATGTTGCAATGACAAAGAAGTTTTTACCCTTACTTATTGCTAAACGTGATTCACGTGTTGTTAATATTTGTTCTGTAGCCGGTTATCTCGCATTACCAAGTGGATCTGCTTACTGTGCATCAAAATATGCCTTTGAATCATTTTCGGATTGCCTTCGACGTGAAATGCTTCCATGGGGTTTACGTGTTAGTATTATTGAACCAGGATACATGCGAACATCAATTCTCGAAGTTAGTCTTAAATCACTTGAAGATTCTTGGAATCAACTGTCAGATGGTGTGAAAGAGAGATGGGGAGAAGATTTTCTGAGAGCTACATTTAATACTAGAAAAAACAGTCCACTTCGGAAACATGCCGAAGATCCCATGAAAGTTGTTCGTGCTCTTCAACATGCTGTTATGAATACAGTCCCTCGCATCCGTTATCGACCTGGATGGCAAGCAAATCTTTTTTTCTTTCCATTATCTAATTTACCTGCGTGGTTTGTTGATTGGTTTCTTGGTAAATTAAATAAAGTAACTCTTACTCCTGCTGGTGTTTCTCAACAACTTACAGACTAAAGTATTCGGATTTGGTCAAATAAACAAACATTTCTAAATATAAACAAGCAAAGAACCTTTTTCATTTATTCATTAGAAATAGATATTTCGAAAATAAAGATTTTACAGTAATTAGATCAATTATATATTATGTCAAGCATAGATGTAAATTACGTATGAAAATTTCTAGTGATAATTGAGTCATACAAGATTACTTTTGTCGTAGTCATCATGTTTGTTAGCTTTATTTTTGTTCGTCCTTCTCACTATGATTTATAGTCGATTTATTTCATATGTGTGAGCGAACGATGATAAGGAGAAAGCTTAAGCGCAGCATGTGTTCATACGCTAACTCCTATTGTATTTGAGAGGAAGTGTCTGAGAAGCTCAGACGTCGACGATAGTGTGATATATTTAAATTCGCTGGTCTTGTATACCTATAGAGAGTAGTAAGTTTAATATTCTCTGATATTTTCAGCTCCATCTGATCAATGTCTTCTTGACAAACAAACAATACTAGCCGAATTTTTTATAATTTGTATAGTGATTTTTCGAGATATTTTCACTAATATTTCAGGTGATTATTTTCAGTAAAAATAATTTGACATGTGAATTTTCGCTACTTTCGACTTCTTGTGTTTCTAACTGTCACTATTGAGACATTGCCCTTGTACATACAATATTTCACAAGCTATTTCTACTGGTGACAAAGACATCCATTTCTACCAACTAGAACATCTCATAATTTCTGTCCTTAAGGAGAGTGAAACAGTTTTGATTAAAAGTCATATAATTTCTATCATTTATGAGATATGTTTGAAGATGCTGGTCTTTTTCACTGGTTAATATTTTCGATTTAGCTATTTTTGTTATTGTAGATAGTATGATGATGTAAAATTACCGATCTGAATTTTCGACGTTTATAATGTTAGCAAAAATAGATGATAATTTTCGAGAATATCCATTTGCATGTATAATAGCATAACAAGAAAGTATTTTCACATTTCAGCTAGTAACAAGATGTCTTTCATCGAAAAGTAGCCTGATGTTTAGGATTAGAATAAAAAGTTCAACTAGAAAACATGTTTTCGATAAAATTTCCACTATACGTTTCAGCCATGTACCCATCAAATTTTCTGTATGACCTTCATAGATGAATTTCGATGGAAAATATATTTTTTTTTGCAAGATGCTTTTTTCATTGTATTGGTTTCTTCTGAATCTGAGATGTCACGTTTATTTTCGATATAACTTAACTTTTTCGAATCAAGAGTTAATGATAATCTTGTTTGTCTTCAGTTTTAAGTGGAAATAACCGTTCTTTAAACGTATCGTTGTTCTTTCGGTGAAAACAAAATGCCAAATGTTTGTTCTACGAGTTTTATATCGCTATGCTATCTATAATAGAAAAATAGCTAAATCTGAAAATATTAAAACAAGTAAAAAAGGCTTTTCCTATGAGAAAAAGATCAGCACCTTCAAACATATCTCATCAATGATAGAAATTAGATGACTTTATCACTAGTAGAAATATCATAGTCTTTGATTGCTGCAGCCTAGAATGTGATTGACCAAAATTTAAGTTACGAAGCACAGAAAAATGGGCAGAATCAGACTCTTTCCTGATATTTTCAAAGTCTTTATAATATTAACAAAAGCTTTTGAATTATTGTACGTACAAAAACAATGATTCAATAATGACAGTTAGAAACACAAGAAGCTGAATGTGTCGAAAATTCACATGCCAAAGTTACTTTTGCTGAAAATAATCTTAGTATTTTTATTGTTTGTGTAGGAAGAACTGTTCAAATCGAACTGAAAATATCAGAGAATACTCAACTATCTACTCTCCATAATACATTAAAAAAAATCAGTGAATTCTGAATCATCATAAGTTTCTCAGAAACTTGTTCTTAAAATGTTTATAGACGCGTGTACCAATCAATGAAATTTTGTATCGAGAAAAAGAAAGTTAGGCCATGGTAATGGTTGACTTCTTCTGTTCATCATAGGTTCGATCATGACATTTCAGAGAAAGAAGGCAGAGAAGTGATAATTACGTTTTACATGCTCTTCGAATTTCATCCAACAGAATGACGTGTGTTCATGTTGAAAAGAGGCCGAAATGACTGCATAGTCAAGATGCTTGACACGTATTCATAAGGCACTGTATTTGAACTTCGGCTCTATTAGTCATAAAATGACCTTCGACAAGTCACTCACGGCTACTTAGTCTCGGATGACCCGTCCGATGACGGACTGACTACGTGTTTGAAATACAGTAAAAAAACCTTTGTGGCTAGTACGTGGTTAGTCAGTATGTATGGGGTGAGAACTCCTCTTCAGGCCACCATTCTGTCCAGAGTTACATTTAGTAATAGATGTAAGAAAAATATCGGGCTCTCAAAACTGTTCTCGAAAAACATCCTATACTGCAAGGTACCCGAAAGGCCGGGTATTCTTCTTCTTCTTCTGTGTGTTGAAAAACAAATTTCTACTTGTATACTAGATGTCTCATAGAGTTTTATCAAAGTGAGCATATTTCCCGTTTTTTTTTGTTAGTTATATCTGAAAGACATAATAAGATTTAACACATGATCCAAATTATGAAGATAATAACTGTATATATTTGATTATTGCAAATCAAAAGAACCAACTTGAATTAGCTTGGTACTCGTGCAAAGATACCTGCTTTTGTGTATATATCAATCACAAATGTTAATTAATGTATATAAGATTCACAGCTAGAAAAAATCTATGTTATCGTAAAAACAACCATTGGCATTCGAATATGTTGTGGTATACAATATATTTGATATCAGACGCGTCAGACAGATAATATTAGAATCCACATTTTCGTTAATTATTGTGAGGAAGTAACTTATGTAGCGAAAAGTTATGCAGTCATAACTTCTAGAAAGAAGACAAGAAAACTTTCTAAAACTCTATTCAGCGAACGTGTGGATGCGGATGCAATTCAGTAAAACGACTTGCAATGCTCTGAAGAGTTTAAAAACTGAAAGGAATCAATTCCTTTGAATCTATCTCATTTGTATGACGAAGAGGGGCAAGTTGCATGTAAATACAGATCCTAAAAAACCACTGCACTAAAAAAGAATATAGAACAACTGTATATAAGTCATCGTTTCAGCATTGAATATTTGCTCGTACTCAACTAAAACATTTATTAGATAGAACGTCTTTGCAATCAAGTCTTGTTTCGATGTGTTTGATATGTGTTTTGTTGCTACTCTATACATGCTTTAACGAATATTCTTCTCTACATTGTTGTTAACTTGATTGCCATTCGATACTTCCCTTTTTTTTTGCAAGCTTTAGAGTATTCGTTTCGTTTATCCATATTATCCTGACTAAACAAAAGCATAGAGATACACTTCGTTTTAGTTTTCGAAAACAACCATCCAATTATAAAATCTCATGACATATAGCAGTCAGTTTGAGTACACATCACTCTTTATAACATATTATGTGTTAGGGTGCAGCATTTTCAATAAAAAAGAGAGCTGACTGCTTTTTTTTCAGCCAACTGTAATCAAATAGATGAGATGTATTCATCTGAATTTGATACTTTTATATATCATTCAATACTCTTTCCATCGTTCTCTGTTTGTTTATACTTCTTTCTGTCTCTCTTCGACCTTCTTGAAGAAAGATGAAAAATCGACCTACATATTAACCAGTAGTGGTTTTTTCTTCTGTGATTCAAATATATATCGCAAAACGCCATGAAGAAAGAAAGGATAAAAAAAGATACTATGAGTATTTATAGGAAAAAAAATATGCTTTTGCGTTCTTCGACACAGTAGTCTCGATTCGACGTAGCTATTATTGCAGCTGCATGACTAAGTTAGAAAGAGTATAAAAAGAATGCCGGTTGTCTGTTTTTTTCTCCATTTGTATTTACTACTAGCTATGCTGTGCCTTCTCATTGCTTTTATAATTATCATTTATATCTTCTATCGTTTATATCAACATTTTTTTCCAACACCAAATATCAATCCTAATGATAAATATGTTCTTATTAGTGGTTGTGATAGTGGATTCGGTCATGGATTAGCTATTGAACTTGATAAACAAGATTTCAATGTTCTTGCTGGTGTTTATATTCCTGACAGCGTAGCCTTACTTAAAGAAAAACTTTCACCGAAAGCTACAGTTTTTCGTCTTGATATTACTAAACAACAAGACATCGATAGTGCATTTGAATTAGTCAACAAAAAAACAAAAGTTCTTCATGCACTGGTTAATAACGCTGGAACTGGTGTTGGTGGCTATGTTGATTGGGTGTCAATGGATGATACGCGCAAAGTAATGGACGTAAATTACTTTGGACATGTTGCAATGACAAAGAAGTTTTTACCCTTACTTATTGCTAAACGTGATTCTCGTATTGTTAATATTTGTTCTGTAGCTGGTTATCTCGCGTTTCCGGGTGCGTCTGCCTATTGTGGATCAAAATATGCTCTTGAATCATTTTCAGATTGTTTACGTCGAGAAATGGTTCCATGGGGTTTACATGTTAGTATTATTGAACCCGGTGCAATGCGAACACCTATGATCGAATCCATTCCTAAATCATTTTCAGAATTTTCAAGTACAATTCCCAGCGATGCTCAAAAGAGATGGGGAGTAGATTTCCTTAAATTATATCATGATAAATTGGTGAAGAGTCCGATCTACAAGTATGCTGAAGATCCTATGAAAGTCATTCGAGCTCTTCAACATGCTGTTATGAATACTGTTCCTCGTATTCGTTATCGACCTGGATGGCAAGCAAGTCTTATTTTCTATCCGATTTCGAATTTACCTACTTGTATTGTTGATTGGCTATTAAATGATCTAGATAAGTCACCTTATGTTCCTGGATTTGTTTCTCAACAACTGAAAGACTAAACTAGCTTTGTTAGTGAAATATACAAACGCTCGTAATAATTAACAAACAAAGAACTTTTCATTTATTCATTAGAAACTAATATTTTGAAAATAAACATATTAGTTTCATTATATCAACTAAGTTTAAGAACAGCATGCATATGAATCGCGTATGAAACGTTTTATACATAGTTAGTTGTCCAATATTTTTTTCTTTTATGTGACGATTAACGTTATATCTGCGGCAGAGCGATGATAAAAAGAAAGTGTTCATCTAAACATCTCTTTATTTTGCAACTCTTATTTTTTCCAAAAGTTTAACTTTAATTTTGTTTTTAAAATGTATATAGATGCGTGTGCCTGTATATGAAATTCTGCCTTGGGAAAATATAAGTTGAGCCATGGTATTGGTTGATTGTGTCTCTTTGTGTAATATCGCATCATGATTTTTGAGAGATAGAATACAAGGAACTGATAATTAAGTTTTACATGCTCATTGAAATTTATGTATCAGTGTGACGTAAATTCAGATTGAAAAACAAACTTTGACTTCGATACTAAATATCTCATAGGATTTTATCAAAATATGAAGATAATAACTCTATATATTTGATTGTAGCAATTCAAAAGAGTCAATTTAAATTAGTTGGTAACTCGCGCAAAGATACCTACTTTTGTGGGTGCATGAATCACAGATATTGATTAATTTATTTAAGATTCACGACTTCAATAAATCTTTCGCAACATAAAAAACATCAGGCACATTCGGAATATTGCGATACACTATACATTTGATGTCACATGCGCCAGATAGTTAATATTGGATTCTATATTTTCGTTAGTTATTACGAGGAAGTAACCTATATGAGAAATAATCATACATTTGCTACTTCGAAATAGAAGACATGATAATATTATTACATTATTTTCAGCTATCGTCCCATGCAGATACAACTCAGTGAATGGTTTTGCACTGTTTGGATGGATTTAACTGCTCAAAGTAACTGATTCTCTCTATCTACTTTAGTTCTAAAATGAAGATGAGCGAGTTACATTCAGACACCTACCTGACAAAACCAGAGCGTCCAGAAAGATATAGAACGAGTGTATGTAGGTTATCGTTTCTACGTCAAACATTTGCTTATAATCAACTAAACATACATTAATTCGAATGTCTTTATAATCAAGTCTTGTTTAAGTCACTTTAAAATGTGCTTTGCTACTTCTCTGTATATACTATAATGGACATTCTTTACATTTGCCATTAAATTGACGGAACGTTCAAATCTTGCTTTTTCTTATACACTCTAGAAAATTCAGTTCACTTATCTTTATTATATTAAGAAAACAAAATTGAACGAGTATTCTTCTTTTTGGTTTTTCGAAAACAATAAAGCACTTATAAAATCTCATAATATTAGCTAACGAGTTGAAGTGAATGTCTTTTTTATCAACTTATTACGTAGTATGATGTTGCATTTTCTACAAAAAAAGTATTGACTGCTTTTTTATCAATTTATATGAAATACATAAGGTGCACTTATCTTAATTTAATTTTTATATACCATTCAATATTATTCCCATCGCTATCTTTTTAGTTCTACTTATTTTCTTATCTTTTCAAGCTTCGTAAGAAAAGATGAAAAATCGACATACATGTTGATAGCTTAGTATTCTTTTCTTCGGTGATCCACATACACGTCGAAAAAATAATAATAATAAAGAAAGAATGAAGAAATGCCATGAGTATTTATAGAAAAAAAAAGTGCTTTTGTGTTCTTCAACACAGCACTCTCGATTCGATCTTGCTATTATTCTACCAGCAGTACTAAGTTAGAAACACTAAAAAAAGAGCGTCAGTTGTCTGTTTTTTTTTCTCCATTTGTATTTACTACTAGCTATGCTGTGCCTTCTTATTGGTTTTGTAACTATCCTTTATATCTTCTATCGTTTATATCAACATTTTTTTCCAACACCAAATATCAATCCTAATGGTAAATATGTTCTTATTAGTGGTTGTGATAGTGGATTTGGTCATGAATTAGCTATTGAACTTGATAAACAAGGTTTCAATGTTCTTGCTGGTGTCTTCCTTCCTGACAATGTAGCGTTTCTTAGAGAAAAACTTTCATCAAAAGCTACAGTTTTTCGTCTTGATATTACTAAACAACAAGATATTGATGGTGCATTTGAATTAGTAAACAAGAAAACAAAAGTTCTTCATGCACTTGTTAATAATGCTGGAATTGCTGTTATTGGTCATATTGATTGGACATCAATGGAAGCTATGCGTAAAGTTATGGATGTAAATTACTTTGGACATGTTGCAATGACAAAGAAATTTTTACCTTTACTCATTGCTAAACGTGATTCTCGTGTTGTCAATATTTGTTCTATAGCCGGTTATCTCGCATTATCAGGTGGATCTGCTTATTGTGCATCAAAATATGCCTTTGAATCATTTTCGGATTGTCTTCGACGTGAAATGGTACCATGGGGTTTACATGTTAGTATTATTGAACCAGGATACATGCGAACACCTATTCTCGAGAGTGGTGTTAAGTCATTTGAAGATTCTTGGAATCAACTGCCAAAGGATGTTAAAGAGAGATGGGGAGAAGATTTTATTAAAGCTACATTTAATACTAGAAAAAACAGCCCATTTCGGAAACATGCCGAAGATCCTATGAAAGTCGTTCGTGCTCTTCAACATGCTGTTATGAATACTGTTCCTTGCATTCGTTATCGACCTGGATGGCAATCAAGTCTGTTTTTCTTTCCATTATCTAATTTACCTGCTTGGTTTGTTGATTGGTTTTGGGATAAACCAACAAAATCAACTCTTTTTCCTGCATTTGTTTCTCAACAACTTAAAGACTAAACTATTCGTGTTGATTAAATAAACAAACATTTCTAAATATAAACAAGCAAAGAACCTTTTTCATTTATTCAATAGAAATAGATATTTCGAAAATAAAGATTTTAGATTAATTAAATGAATATGTTTTATGTCAGGCATAGAAGTAAGTTACGTATGAAGATTTCTGGTGATAGTTGTATCATATAGGATTGGGTTTGTCGTAGTCATCATGTTTGTTATGTTTATTCTTTTTCTTTGTTCTCATTATGATTTATTGTCAAAATTATTTTTATATCTTGCATATAGAATTTACTTTATATGTGCGAGAGAAGAATGATAAGGAGAAAGCTTAACTCAAGGATGTATTCGTATGGGAACTCGTATTGTATTTGAGAGGAAGTGTCTGAGAAACTCAGACATCGGTGATGGACTGACATTTCGAAATTTGCTAGATTTTTTATGTGATATAGAGGGCAGTAAGTTTAATATTCTCTAATACTTTCAGCTGGGTCTGATCAATTTCCCCAGCTCGAACAAAAAAAAATACCAGCAGAGTTTTGGATAATTTTTAAAATGAGTTTTCACAATATTCACACCGAATTTAAAATTACTTTTTTTAGTATTAACTGCTTTCCAGCTTTGACACTTGACTGTCGCTATTGAGACAGTATTCCTGTCTAAAGAAAAAAAATCAGATTTTTTGTCATTCCTATAAAAGCTTTGTTTATTCCCATGAGAAATGTCTGTTTTGTCATTAACATATCGGTCAATCACATTTGATGCCGCAAAGATCAATGACTGTGATATTTTTACCGATGATAGAAGCATCTATTTCTACCATCTATAATATTTTAGAATTTCGGTCCTTAAGAAGAATGAAACCGTTTTTGTGAAAAGTCATATACTTTCTATCATTTATGAGATATGTTCGGAGATGCTGGTCTTTTTCTCATAGGCTATGCCTTCTTCATCAATTAATATTTTTCAGTTTAGTTATTGTTTTATTGTAGATGGCATGGCAATATTAAATTTGTAGAACAAACATTTGCCATTTTATTTTTACTGGAAGAACAAGGATACGTGCAAGGAACAATTAGTTCCACTGAAGATTGAATAAAAACAAGGTTATCATCAATTTTTTATTCGCAAAAGTTAAGTTTTATCGAATACGAACTTGATTTCTCAGATTCCGAATAAAAAACTACGGTACAAAAAAAACATGTTTTATTATCTTAATGACCAGATTTGTGAGACATTCTAGATGGTAGAAATGGATGTCTCTCTCGCCAGTATAAATATCATAGTCATTAATTGTTGCGATATGCAATGTGATTGACCGATATTTTAGTAACAAAACTCAGAAAAAAAGGGAAAGCAGACTTTTTGAATTTTTGTATGCGGAAGAACAGTGACTCAATAGTGAAAATTAAAAATACAAGACGTCGAAAATGGCAAATATTCAAATGCAAAAGTCACTTTTGCTGAAAAATATCATCTGAGAAAATCGGTAAAAATATTTTGAAAAATCATTATACAAATTATCGAAAATTCTGCTAGTAGTGTCTTGTTTGTGTAGGAGGAACTGATCAACTCGAGTGGAAAATATCAGAAAACACTAAAGTTACTAGTCTCTTTAGTACATAAAAAAATAACGTGAATTCTGAAACGTGTTTCCATCGTAGGCGTTTTATGGTGACCAGTTTTCTCAGAAACTTCCTTTTAACATGTTTACAGTTGTTTGCTGCGATATATCGAACTTTATGTTGAGAAACAGACAGTTGAACCATGGTATTGTTTCATTTTTGTCTTCATCAAAAATTCGATAATGATTTTTGAGACAAAGAAAGCAAGAAACTGATGATTATGCTTTACATGTTCTTTCAATTTCATCTATCAATGTGACATGCCTTCATGCTGAAAAACAAACTTCTACTTCGATAATAAATATCTCATCGAATTTGATAAAAACGAGGCTATTTCACGTTTCTTTTTCTTGTTTGTCATTTATATCTACAATATTTCGCACGATTGAACACATGATCCAAATTGTGACGATAAATACTGTATATATATGTTATGGCCCAAATCAGAATTCGTTCAGACGAAATTAGAATTCCAATTTGGACTAGACGAAATTGAAATAATTTTTCAATGAATGAAAAAAAATATAGAAAGACATAATTAAAGTACCAACAACTATTTGATTTTACAGAACTTTTTGACAAATATTGTATAAATCCTAAATCAAGTTAATCCATGTTTGAATATGCACCTCTTTTTGAATGTGGTGTGGGTGTGTGATTTAACAGAAGGCCTAACCTACACACGCACACCCACTCTATATATACTGGTTATTTCTTCAATCAGTTCTTCTTTGTTCCTCAATAGTTATTGAGATTGTACCTTTCTTCATTCATCGAAAAATTATTCCAATTCGTCTAGTTTAAATTGGAATTCTAATTTCGTTTGGATGAATTCTGAATTGGGCTGAATTCTAGTTTCGGTCATAACATATACTTGAATATAGAAACTAAAAAAAAATGGAATTGAATTGCACGGTTGCCAGCACGAAGACAGCTGCTTTCGTGTTTATAACAAGAATAAATATTTATTAACGTAGATAACCTTCACAACTTGAACAAAACTTTGACGACATAAAACGCATCATGAGTATTGAAAAATGTTGTGATATACAAAACATTTGGTACCATGTGCACCCCACAGTTTATATTCGAAACTATATTTTCGTTAGTTATTATTAGGAAATAACTTATATGGCATATAATTGTACAGTTTCAACTTATAGATAGCCGCCAAGACATTTAGTAACTGAAAGCAATCAAGTTCTTTGAATCTATCTTATTTGTATGACAACAAATTAGCAAGTTACGTGTAGACATCTATCTCAAAACCACTGCATGAAGCAAGAAATAGAACAACTGTAGGTAGATCATCCTTTCAGTATACTATAGTGAATATAGTTCTTCAAATTTCTTATTAAGTTGACATAGGTTCAATTCTTGCTTTTTTTTCCACTTGCTAGAGTTTTTGGTTCACGTATCTTCCTTATCATAACAAACTGAGATTGTCCAGGCATTCTTTGTTTTAGTTATCTGAAGCAATGAGACAATTATAAACCCTCATGATATATATTAACAAGTTTGAGTGAGTGTCATTGTTATGAACACATTACGTAGTCTAATGCAACATTTCTCATAACAAGGAACTGACTGCTTTTTTTATCAACTAAAACCAAACATGTAAGATATCTTCATCTGAATTTGATACTATTATGTACTGTGCAATATTATTCTCATCGCTTTCTTTTTATTTTTACTTATTTCTTTATCTTTTGAAACTTCGTGAGGGAAGATGAAAAATCGACATGCATATTGATAGCTTAGTATTTTTTTCTTCTGTGACCCACATATACGTCGGAAAAAAATACTCATAAAGAAAGAATAAAGAAATGTCATGAGTATGTATACCAAAAAATATGCTTTTGCGTTGTTTAACACAGCACTCTCGATTCGATGTTGCTATTATTCTAACCGTAGTATTAGGCTAGAAAGAGTATAAAAATAACGGTAGTTGTCTGTTTTTTTCTCCATTTGTATTTACTACTAGCTATGCTGTGCCTTCTCATTATTTTTATAGTTGTTCTTTTTTTCTCCTATCGTTTATATCAACATTTTTTTCCAACACCAAATATTAATCCTAATGGTAAATATGTTCTTATTAGTGGTTGTGATAGTGGATTCGGTAATGGATTAGCTATTGAACTTGATAAACAAGGTTTCAATGTTTTTGCTGGTGTCTTCCTTCCTGACAATGTAGCGTTTCTTAGAGAAAAACTTTCATCAAAAGCTACAGTTTTTCGTCTTGATATTACTAAACAAGAAGATATTGATGGTGCATTTGAATTAGTAAACAAGAAAACAAAAGTTCTTCATGGACTTGTTAATAATGCTGGAATTGCTGTTATTGGTCATATTGATTGGACATCAATGGAAGATATGCGTAAAGTTATGGATGTAAATTACTTTGGACATGTTGCAATGACAAAGAAGTTTTTACCTTTACTCATTGCTAAACGTGATTCTCGTGTTGCTAACATTTGTTCTATAGCCGGTTATCTCTCATTATCAGGTGCATCTGCTTATTGTGCATCAAAATATGCCTTTGAATCATTTTCGGATTGTCTTCGACGTGAAATGGCACCATGGGGTTTACATGTTAGTATTATTGAACCCGGTGCAATGCAAACACCTATTCTTCAATCTGGTCCTCAAACATTTTCAGAATTTTACAGTATGGTTTCCAGTGATGCTCAAGAACGATGGGGAAAAGATTTTCTTAAAGGACATTATGATAAATCAGCGACGAATGTCTTCGCTAAGTATGCTGAAGATCCTATGAAAGTCATTCGAGCTCTTCAACATGCTGTTATGAATACTGTTCCTCGTATTCGTTATCGACCTGGATGGCAATCAAGTCTTGTTTTCTATCCGATTTCGAATTTACCTACTTGTATTGTTGATTGGCTATTGAGCAACTTAGATAAGTCAACTTATGTTCCTGCATTTGTTTCTCAACAACTGAAAGATTAAATTGTCTTAGTTAGAAAAATAAAGAAACACTTTTAAACATAAACGAGCGAAGAACTTTGTTTTAATTCATTAGAAAAATATATCTTGAAAATAAGAATTTTAGATTTATAAGATCAATTACGTTAAAGTTCAACATGCATGTGAATTGAATATGAAACATTTTTCTTCATAGATGATTATGGAATATTTTTTTCTTTTGTATAACGATTAACTTTATACCTGCGAGAAAACGGTTAGAAAAAGAAAATGTTCACATAAACATTTGTTTATATGATAACTTGTATTCATTCCAAATTTTTATATTTTAATTTGCTTTTAACATGTCTATAAACACGTGTATCAATATATGGAATATTGTGTTGTGAAAAAGGAAGGTTGAGCCATGATAGTAATTGATTTTTTCTTTTCATATGATATTCTATCATGACTTTTGAAAAATAGAATACAGAGAGCTGACGATTGAGCTTTACATACTTTTGAATTTCATCTATCAATCGCACATAATTTGGTGTTGGAAAACAAACTTCTACTTTGATACTTAATATCTCATAGAATTTTAGAAAAGCTCCAATATTTGCCGGATCGCTTCTTGTTTGTCAGGTATGTCTAAAATACATGGTACGATTTAACACAAAATTCAAATTATGGAAATAGTCACTGCAGATACTTGAATATAGAAAAGAAAAACAATAAGATTAACATAGCAGGTTACCAGCGCAAAGAGCACTCCTTTCGTGTGTATGCCAAAATTAAATATGAATGAACGTGTATAACTTTCACAACTTAAATAAAGTTTGCGCAACATAAAACGTATTATGAACATTCGAAAATGTTAAACAATACAGAACATTTGATATCATATGCGTCAGACAATCATTATTGGAATCTATATCTTCGTTAGTTACTGTGAGAAAGTAACTTATGTGGTAAAAAACTATAAACTTGCTACTTCTAAATATAGAGCACTTTCCCATAAAAAAAGAACTGACTGCTTTTTTCTCAACTGAAATCAAGCACATAAGATCTATTCATCTGAATTCAATATATTTTTATATACTCTTCGATATTATAGTCATAGCTTTCGTTCTATTTTTATTTATTTCCTTATCTCTTCGAACTTTGAAAACAAAGATGAAAGATGTCAATACATATATAGACATAGTGTTTTTTCTGTGACAACATATTTATATATTAGAAAAAGAACAGGAAAAAAACCATGATACCGAAATACCACGAGTATTTATAGAAAAACAATTTGCTCTGCATTCTTCCACTCAATGCTCTCGATCCCACGCCGCTATTATTGTAGTAGTAATACTAGCTTAGAAAGAGTATAAAATGTACGTTCAGTTGTGTGTTGTTTTCTCCATTTGTCTTTATTAGCTATGCTGTACGTTCTTTTTACTTTCATAATTGTCCTTTATATCTTGTATAGCTTATATCAACGTTTTTTTCCGACACCAAATATCAATCCTAATGATAAATATGTTCTTATTAGTGGTTGTGATAGTGAATTTGGTCATGGATTAGCTATTGAACTTGATAAACAAGGTTTTAACGTTCTTGCTGATGTCTTCCTTCCTGACAATGTAGCGTTTCTTAGAGAAAAACTTTCATCAAAAGCTACAGTTTTTCGTCTTGATATTACTAAACAACTAGATATTGATGGTGCATTTGAATTAGTCAATAAGGAAACAAAAGTTCTTCATGCACTGGTTAATAATGCAGGGATAGCTATTTTGGGTAATATTGATTGGGCATCAATGGAAGATATGCGTAAAGTTATGGATGTGAACTATTTTGGACATGTTGCAATGACAAAAAAGTTTTTACCTTTACTTATTGCTAAACGTGATTCTCGTGTTGTTAATATTTGTTCAGTAGCTAGTTATCTTGCATCAGCAAGTATGTCTGCTTATTGTGCATTGAAATATGCTGAAGATCCTATGAAAGTTGTTCGAGCTCTTCAACATGCTGTTATGAATACAGTTCCTCGTATTCGTTATCGACCTGGATGGCAATCAAGTCTTGGTTTCTTTCCAGAATCTCATTTACCAGCCTGGGTTGTTGATTGGCTTTTGAGCAATCTAGATAAATCATTTCATGTTCCTGCATTTTTTTCTCAACAACTTAAAGACTAATTTATCATAATTAATGAAATAAAGAAATCTTTTTAAATATACAGAATGTAAGAACGATTTTGTGATTTAAATTTTATATGTGCAAGCATTCATATAGTGGCTGCTCTTATAGTGAAAATTTAATGTTCTGTTGTGTTTTTCAAATGTCTATAAACGCGTGTATCAATATTTGACATATTGTGATAGGAAAAAGACAGTTGAGTCATGATATTGGTTGACTTTTTCTCTTCGTATGGAATTGCATCATGACTTTTGAGAGATAGATTAGAGGGAATTGACGATTATGCTTTTCCGGCTAATTGAATTTCATCTATCAGGTGGGACCTGACTTTATGCTGAAAAAGAAACTTCTACTTCTATACTAAATATTTCATCGAATTGTAAAATAGAGGGAACATTTTCGGTTTTTTTTCCTTGTTTTCCAGTTATGTCTAAAACTCATGATACAATTTAACAAATGATCCAAATCATGAAGATGATCATTGCAGATACTTGATTATAACAAATAAATAGAATAAAATTAATAGAGATGGTACTCGTGCAAAGATAATCGCTTGTATGGACATCTCAGGCACAAATATTCATTAACATATTTATAAGATTCACAACTGGAAGAAATTTTTGTCAAAATAAAATTCGTCATGGGAATTTTGAAATATTCTGATATATAAAACATTTGATACCATATGCTCGAAACAATAACTAATGCAATTTATTTGTTCTTTAATTACTGTAAATAATTCGAAAACAATAAGGTAGTTATAAAATTTTATGACATATATCGAACAGTTTCAGTGCACATCAGTGTTAATGACATATTACATAGTATGATACTGCATTTTCCACACAAAAGTATTGACTGATTTTTTTGTTATCATTTAATATCAAACACATAAAATGTATTCATCTAAGTTTAATTTTTTTTTATAAATTACCCGACATTATTCTTCACCTTTCTTTTCGTTTTTACTTCTTTGTTTATCTCTTCGTACTTTGAGAAGAAAGATGAAAGATCGAAGTGTATATTGACACACACTATTTTGTCAATGACATACTATATATCAGAAAAAAAAACACAAAGAAAGAAAGGATAAAGAAGTATTACAAGTAATGCATACAATGAAATTTGCTTTGTATTCTTTCACATGCTGCTCTCGATTCGATATTCTTATCGCTTTGATAGTAATATTATATTAAAAAGAGAACACTAAAAACATTAGCTGTGTTTTTTTTTTCTTCATTTGTCTTTACAGTATCATAATGTGTCTTCTTATTGGTTTTATAATCATTCTATATATCTCCTATCGTTTATATCAACATTTTTTTCCAACACCAAATATTAATCCTAATGGTAAATATGTTCTTATTAGTGGTTGTGATAGTGGATTCGGTAATGGATTAGCTATTGAACTTGATAAACAAGGTTTTAATGTTCTTGCTGGCGTCTTACTTCCAGACAATGTAGCATCTCTTAAAGAAAAACTTTCATCAAAAGCTACAGTTTTTCTTCTTGATATTACAAAACAAGAAGATATTGATAGTGCATTTGAATTAGTCAACAAGAAAACAAAAGTTCTTCATGGACTTGTTAATAATGCTGGAATTACTGCAGGTTCATGTATTGACTGGACACCACTAGAAGTTATGCGTAAAGTGATGGATGTAAATTTTTTTGGACATGTTGCAATGACAAAAAAATTTTTACCTTTACTTATTGCTAAACGTGATTCACGTGTTGTTAATATTTGTTCTATAGCTGGTTATATCGCGTCATCTGGTATGTCTGCTTATTCAGCATCGAAATTTGCTCTTGAATCATTTTCGGATTGTCTTCGACGTGAAATGGCACCATGGGGTTTACGTGTTAGTATTATTGAACCAGGATTTATGCGAACAGCTATCATCCAAGCTGCTTATAAATCATTTCCAGATTTGTGGAGTCAACTCTCAAGTGATGTTCAAGAACGATGGGGAGAAGATTTTATTAAAGCTAGATTAGATAGGTCAAGAAACAATCCATTTGTGAAACTTGCTGAAGATCCCATGAAAGTTGTTCGAGCTCTTCAACATGCTGTTATGAATACAGTTCCTCGTATTCGTTATCGACCTGGATGGCAATCAAGTCTTTTTTTCTTTCCATTATCTAATTTACCTGTTTGGTTTATCGATTGGTTTTTAGGTCAATTAAATAAATCAGCTTTTGTTCCTGCAAGTGTTAACAAACAACACAAAGATTAAAAATGATTTATTTAGAATATTTGACAAATTTTGTTTTTAATCATAAATAGAAAGAATATATATCTTTTTGACCTAATAAAAACATAGTTAGAAAAAAAAAATTATTGATTTGTTTTAGACAACGAGTTTGAATTTCAAGTAACATAGACTGAATATCAATAGTAAGTTAAAGCAACCAAATAACGTTTGGTATGAATGATTTGTCGCGAGTGTGTGCATGGCGATATGAATGAGAATCTTTTGTGTAACTTCATCCACATTTACATTAGAGATCATCATGAGGGCAGTGTTTTCTAATGCTCAGTTAGCATTTTTTTATTAAAAACTGTCATTTAAAATTGTTTAGTTAATATAAACATAAATCTTTCAGAATATATGGTATCTATGTAATTCTATCAACTGTTGATCATTTAATGAAATTTATGTATGTAATACTCATTCTAACTCACCATAATTCAATAAAACCTCTTTTGATTTCATGAAAACTTAACACTTCGTGTTAAATTATAAACATGTCCAGCAAATAATAAAATATAATGAATATTGATCTATTGCTAAATGACGATGAAAGGGTCTAATTCAAATAAATCATAGTAGTTAATCACAAATAATTCCTGTTTTTATTGACGGATATCTTGTTTTTGTATGAACATATGCTTCTAATGCCATGCATTTATGTAAAAGATTGATCTAGAAAGAATAAATAAATTAAAATGACACTATTTTTACTTGATTGTAATCTGATTTTGAAACATGAATAATTTTCTTTGGAATTCATATACAAAGGATATGAACACTAAATTTAAACATAATTAAAAGTTTTCGTTAGGTTTCCAACTCATTCCATAGTCGACTTCAGTTTATATACTCTGGGAAACGTTCCAATATTCGATTCTTTCACTCAATCCTTATCGATTACCTTAAATTGATTTTGATTATGCGTTTTCTTTGAATAAAGAAGAATGGACTGCATGAGAATTCAAATGTTTCCAGTTAGCTACTCTGTTGTTAGCTTTTTATTATAACAAATTTGAACAAGACTTTATTGTCTTTGACTTTATCTCAATAAGTATTTTCCATTAGAGATTTCCAATTTTTCATTAAAAATCGTTTACAATCAATAGTTTTATGAAGAATGCTATATGTCACGATTCAATAGTTGCGAATAGATTATCAAAATACATACGAAAACTAATAGTTTCTAGTAGTTTTTCAGTATTACTTCATCAAGATCGTATATTTTCACGATCATTATTGGTAAAAATTGCTCTTAAAAATATTGCGCACCATATGAATGTTTGTTTGATAAGTTAATATTATTATTCCATGTCATTTTAGAAAATATGAACATTTTTTAATTCATCTCGAAAGTCTCGAAGAAAGAAACTGAGTCCCTAATTATAAAATAGTCGAACTGATTCTCTTACGAATCAATATGAATGTTAAAAAATGGTCAAATTGTTGCTAGGAAGAAATAATATAAGTAATCATGTGAAATGATCATAAAATGTTTTAAAAAAAGATTTTCATGAATTCTCAGACTTAATGATTATTGGTAATGCATAATAAATATTGTCATGACTTTTTTTCTTTTTTTTTATAAAGAATAAGGATTAAATAATCAGAATATGGCAACACTATTGACAATGTTAGAGGATTTATATTTGAAGGAAAAAGATGAATCAGCTATTCTACTGAAATAGAATTTCAGAGTTTTTTTGTATTTATCAAATCTAGCAATTTTTTAAAAGACTTCTGCAATAGTCAATAATAAATACTATGAATATATCATTGACTTTGATATATAGTCACAGACGATATGTCAATAATGGTAAAGAAATATGTCCAAAAATAGATAGAATAAAACAATTTCCTTGTGATTAGCAACAGTAGTTACACCATATTTTACATTTCAGTCTTTCTTTTCTTCAAACAACGATTCAATTGTTAGCAATAAAAATAGAATTTACAATCAATTCAGTTTCATATATTTATTAATTGTTATACTTAAACCAAAACAAAAAAAAAGCAAAAAAAAAAGAACCTTCTTCAAATTCAATTATAGCAATATTAAATAATACAAATTTTAGTTCATTTGTTGATTATGGACACCAGTTGGTGTCGAATTGACTTCTAAATTTAGAAGTTTATCTATGAAATAGGCGGGACAAATGCGAACAAATCGAACAAATAATTTTGATTGCCAATCAGGTTGATAACGAATACGAGGATTAGTATTCATAACAGCATGTTTAATTACTCGTATAACTTTCGTCGAATCATCAAAATTGAATAATAATGGCTGATTGTTTGTTTGTCTGATTATATTCTGTAAAAAATTAATTCCCCATCGTTCTTGAACATCATTTGAAAGTTCATCTAATAATTTTCTTATATGATCTTCTGGATTTTCAAGAAAACGTGTTCTTATCGTAAACCGTTCTATTATACTAACACGTAAATTCCATGGAGCCATTTCACGACGAAGACAATCAGAAAATGATTCAAGAGCATATTTCGATGCTGAATAAGCAGCTGTACCTCTTAAACTTACAATACCAGATATAGAAGATAAATTTACAACACGTGAATCCTGTTTAGCAACAAGTAAAGGAATAAACTTTTTTGTTATTGCAACATGTCCAAAAAAATTCACATCCATTACTTTACGCATTACTTCTAATGAAGTCCAATCAATATAGCTACCAGCAATTATTTCAGTATTATTAATAAGTGCATGAAGAATTTCTGTTTTGTTTTTAACTAATTCATATGCAGCATCAATATCTTCTTCTTTAGTAATATCAAGACGAAATACAGTAGCTCTTGATGAAAGTTTATTTTTGAGCAAAGCGACATTATCAGAAATGAGGACACCAGCAAAAACATTAAAACCTTGTTGATCAAGTTTAATAGCTAATAAATGACTCAATTCTGTATTACAACCATTGATTAATACATATAAACCATGTGGATTGATATTAGGCGATGGAAAAAAGTGTTGATATAATCGATAACATCCATAGTATATCAATCCTATGATAATAAGAAGAAGCATGATAGATTCGTTGTAATAATATAAATAGACACCAAAAAGAATACGTCAATCACGTATTAAGATGTAGAAATAAATAGAAAGAAAGTGAATACATATATAACGACACGCTATTAAGTTACTACTCATATTTCGTTAGTCATATTTTTTTTTTCATTTCTGTATGTGCATTCGTCCTTGACTGATGTTGTTATTACGTTAAAGAAAAATAAAGTGATATACCATTTGAGAAAAAAATCGAATATATTTTCGTTATAAAAAAATCTATTGAGCATGACTTTTATGAAAGACTTTTATTGAAAATGAGAAACTATTGAATAGAATTGTATTAAACACTAACATTTTTATAAATTGATATTAGTCATTGTTATAATAGAAAACGAGTAAAATTGAGAAAAAAAAAACAAAAATAATGAAATATTTAAATAGACTAATACTAATCAAAAATACAGATTTGTAAAAATTTAGTAATATTTTGAAAGAAACGATTCTTTTTTTGTCGACTAAGCTTGGATCTGATTTTTAACACCAACAGGAAGAATAGATGGGTTAATTATTTTTAATGACATGAAATCAAACAACCAAGCAGGAAGCATAGAAATAGGATAAAAGAAAAGTTTAGCTTGCCAATCAGGACGATATCGAATACGAGGTTCAGTATTCATAACAGCATGTCGAAGTGCTCGTACTACTTTCATTGGATTTTCAGCATTATTAATAAATGGACTTTTCGTTATTGCTTTTTCAACTAAAGCATTGAAAAACTCATCACCCCATCTATTGCGAATATTTAATGATAATCCATTCCATAAATCTCGTATAGCACGATCTTGTCCTTCAATAATTGGTGTTCTTAACCATCCTGGTTCAATAATTGAAACACGTAAACCCCATGGAGACATTTCACGACGAAGACAATCAGAAAATGATTCCATTGCATATTTTGAAGCACAATATGCTGACAAGCCTGGTAGACTTATTAAACCCATGACTGAAGAAATATTAATCACACGAGAATCACGTTTAGCTATTAACAATGGTAAAAACTTTTTTGTCATTGCAACATGTCCAAAAAAGTTAACATTCATTATATTATGCATGAATTCTAATGTTGTCCAATCGATATAACCACTTTTACCAATACCAGCATTATTAACAAGTGCATGAAGAACGTTTGTTTTCTCGTTAACTAATTCAAATGCACTATCAATATCTTCTTGTTTCGTAATATCAAGACAAAAGACAGTAGCTTTTGATGAAAGTTTATTTTTGAGCAAAGCGATATTATCAGAAATGAGGACACCAGCAAAAACATTAAAACCTTGTTTATCAAGTTCAATAGCTAATCCATTACCGAATCCACTATCACAACCACTAATGAGAACATATTTTCCATAAGGATTAATGTTTGGTTTTGGAAAAAAATGTTGATATAAACGATAGAATATATATAGTATAATGATTAAACTAATAGTTAAGCACATTGTTATTTATTCTATAGAAATATGCGAAAGAAAAACTTTGACTTTTTATCGTTTTTTTTTTTTCGTCAAGGACATGCATATTCAAGATTAGGAAGCAAAAGAAAAACATGTGATACTATATGAAAATAAATATACAGGTGACAAGAATATTTCATTCGTCAGAATGTAACCAGAGCACATATTTTCAAAAAAAAAAAAAGAACAAAGTCGAGTTGGTTTTGTTATAAGAATTCTAAGGAACGAAACATTTCATAATGTACCTTCCTATAGAATAACAACTAAAATCTGATTCATGAGAGTAAATCGGCTTGATGTAAAAGTAATTAATTCAAAAACTAAGTGTGATATATTATATTCTTGTCTTAGAAAAGTGACTAAGTTTAATTTCATATTTGTAATAATGTTTTTGTTCTTGGTACCGTTAGGTGTCTACATTGTATTCATATTAGGTCTGTTTCTTTCCTTTTTTTTACATGTTTTTTCTATATTATTTTGTTTTTAATTAATGAACAAGTCATTTTCTTTCATTTAAAAAAATAATCATAAAATAGTTTTGAATTACATGTTTTTATTGTCAACTACATAATTGATATTTGACGCCATCAGGAGGAACACCGAATCCAAGAGAAAGTATTTTATCAACTAACCAAGTAGGAAGAATAGATAATGGATAAAAGAAAAGACTTGATTGCCAACCAGGTCGATATCGAATTCGAGGAACAGTACTTATAATAGCATGTTCAAGTACTCGAATAACTTTCTCTGATTTTTCAGAATATCTAATAAATGGACTATTTATCACTAATTTAAATACACTTTCGAAAAATTGTTCACCCCATCGACTTTTAATATCGATCGGTAATTGAAGCCAAACATTTTTCAATTTTTCTTCTAAACCTTCAGTCATTGTTGTTCGCATTGTACCTGGTTCAACAAGAGATACACGTAAATTCCATGGAGCCATTTCACGACGAAGACAATCAGAAAATGATTCTAATGCATATTTTGATGCACAATAAGCACCTGAACCTGGAAGACTAATAAAACCACACATAGAACTTATGTTTACTACACGTGAATCATGTTTAGCAATAAGTAATGGTAAAAATTTTTTTGTCATTGCAACATGTCCAAAAAAGTTAACATTCATCACTTTACGCATAATTTCCATTGATGTCCAATCAATATAACCAGCACCATCAGCAATACCAGCATTATTCACAAGTCCATGAAGAACGTTTGTTTTTTCGGTAACTAATTGAAATGCAGCATCAATATCTTCTTGTTTAGTAATATCAAGACAGAAGACAGTAGCTTTTGATGAAAGTTTATCTTTAAGAAAGATTACGCTATTGGGAAGATAAACACCAGCAAGAACACTAAAACCTTGTTTATCAAGTTTGATAGCTAATTCATGACCAAATCCTGTATCACAACCACTGATAAGAACATATTTTCCTTGGGTTTGAATATTAGGAGGCGAAAAAAAGATTCGATAGAATGTATAGATTATATAGAATATTAACATTAAACTAAGAATTATAAGCATGATCTGTTACTTTACGACAATTAGCTTTAGTGATGGTAAATGGTTGAAAAAAGAAAAAAAAACTAAATAATAGTGTGTACATGACACATAAACAGGTCATAATCATGTATGTCCTTTGTTATCTTTTTTTTTCTTTTCTCTGTATTTGTCTTTTGGTTTCAGCCTGATAAAGAAAATAAATAGAACAAAATAGAAGGTGAAAGGTAAATTTATTTTTATTTAGAAAAAAAAAAATTTATTAATGTTATTGATAGCGTCATGTAATTTTATTCTATATGTGTTTTTTGTACACTAGCAGGTTTAACATTAGAATAAATTGCACGATTTAAAATAAAATCAGCTAACCAAGCAGGAAGTATAGATAATGGTAAAAAGAAATATTTTGCTTGCCAACCAGGTCGATATCTTATTTCAGGTTTAGAATTTATTACTGAATGTTGAAGTACTTGTACAACTTTATTTGGATCTTCAGCATGACGATAAAGAAAATTATCAGATAATTTTTTTGTTTGAATTTTAAGAAAATCTTCACCCCATCGTTGTTGTACATCAGTTGATAATTCATTCCAAAATTTATTCATAAATTTATCATGTCCTTCAATAATAGGTGTTCGCATTGGTCCAGGTTCAATGATACTAACAAACAAACCCCATGGAGCCATTTCACGACGAAGACAATCAGAAAATGATTCTAATGCATATTTTGATGCTGAATAAGCAGATTTCAATGGTGCAGTAACAATACCAGCTACCGAACATATATTAATAACTCGTGAATGACGTTTTATTATAAGTAATGGTAAAAATTTTTTTGTCATTGCAACATGTCCAAAAAAGTTAACATCCATTATTTTACGCATAGTTTCTATACTTATCCAATCAATAAAACCACTTGTACTAATACCAGCATTATTAACAAGTGCATGAAGAATTTTTGTTTTCTCATTAACTAATTCAAATGCATTATCAATATCTTCTTGTTTAGTAATATCAAGACGAAAGACAGTAGCTTTTGATGAAAGTTTGTCTTTAAGAGTGATTACATTATCAGGACTATAAACACCAGCAAGAACATTAAAACCTTGTTTATCAAGTTTGATAGCTAATTCATAACCAAAACCTGAATCACAACCACTGATAAGAACATATTTTCCTGTTGGATCAATATTTGGATGTGGAAATATATATCGATATATTCGATATAATAAATCAAGCAGAATTGCTAAAATTATTAGCAATATCATTCTTGAAGAAATAGAAAATCAAATAAAAACTTATTACTATGTTGATTATTCATATACTTACTGCGTTCACTTTTTTTTTTGTATTTCTAGTTGTGATGTGAGATACACGTTGTTACTTCTTTATCAAGGTGTAAGGAGAGCAAAAAGAAAGTGATTACCAAAATGATTCATACTATTTCTATAGATGTCATCAATTTCAATGCAAAAAACGATAGATTTTTCTTATGTTGTTGAATCGAATTAACAGACAGATTAGAGAAAACATATGATAAGATATCATAAGGATAAATGTGTTTTGATTTATTATTTTTTTTCTAAGGATCAATGTTAATATCTTTTTGTTTTAATCTTCATTAAAGCTATTAATATAATTCTGAAACGATATAGGATAAAATTCACAGAGAAAAAAAATCGTTATGAAGTATCCTTCTAATAATTTTTCTGTTCATAGTTCATGATGATTTCGTAAGTAAATTAATTAATGAATCATTATCATGAATATATTCTTACTTTGATGCTGAAAGTTATTGTTTAAGATATGCTCTTGTTTACTCAATATTTTACAATCTAAATTAGTATACATGACATTAGATATAAGAGTACAACAATTGCTTTTTATTATTTAATTGTTCACTTTATTTACTATTACAATGCATATAAATTTTATCATTTCGTTTCACAATTAAACAAAAAAAAAAAACGAATAGACAGATGCATATTATCTACATTCACACATTATAAAACTTAATATTTTGTTTTATTGTCTGTCTTGCAAATTGTTAACTTCTAACCACTTTTACATATGGTATATGAAACTCTCTATCAAGAAAATGTCTATGTGAAATTTCGATCAATCATATAAAATGATTCATTGATCGTAACTACGATAAATATATTTCATGCTAGAAACACAATTCTATGTTTGATCTAACTTGTATTTACTTAGTGCTATAGTAAGTCTATTTTCTGAACTTTCATTTTATAGTAAAATACGTTTTATTATCAAAATACAGCATACATTGTAGTGATGCTGACAAATTTTGACATCAAGAATTCAGTTTCAGATATGTTCTAGTCTACTTTCTTCTCTGTACGTTTTGTTATTTAATTTTTTGTTTTTTTATTTCAGAGTTTCTAAGAATTAAGAACATTGTTGGAAAAAGCATTGAAATATTTCAACCGTGACAGTTGTTTAGAGATAAGAAAAAATATCATGATGTCACTACATAGTATTAGAAAAAAAAGAGAACATTTTAATAAGAATATATACGACAGGATACAAAACAAGAAAATATATGCATGAATTAATAAGGAAGTATCTTATGATCTTTATTGCTTCACATGTTTAATATTTATATAATATAAATAAAGTGATTTTATTTTCTGCTGAAGAAATATGTAGTATAATATATCTATCACCGTTCACAAATGGTTCAATTACGTAGTCAAACGAGATGAAAAAACATTCTCTTGCCTTATTAGCCATACGTTCAAAAATTTATTCTACAATCAATTAGCCATAGAGCTGGAAGTGTAGTCATTTAGTACTCCTAGAACAATAAGCATCCGATTTGAAATGTCCGTTATTCACTTAATTGAGTACAATCAATCTATCGAGAAGTGAGAAAACAATATTGCTGTCACTTTACCGACACTTGCTATTGATACAGATCACTACAGAGTCTACGATCGTGTATAGCATACCGTACTCTTGATTTAACTGTAAATTCTTGAGTTCTCAATTTATTTATTGAAAATGTTTAAAAGTTAGTTGAGAGGGAGAAAATGAACATAATGTTTGATGAAAGAAACATTAAAAGTGCTTTATAGAAGTATACAGCTTCTGTAATGTAGTAGTCTGAATCTGTACCTATTTATATTGTGCTTCACTATGATCTAATCTAACTATCTCGAAATTCATTTAAGCTACTTGTTTGTCGATGATCTTAGTATGCTTATTAAACCATCATCATGAATAACTGGGCACCAATGATTCTACGTCTAAAGAAAGAAGGCACCCCTAGTTGACTCTTCCTTGCGAAGTCTCCGATGACTCCTTATCGGGAATCCTGTGGGTAGTATTTTTAGAGAAAGTTGTTTACGAACGCCGAACTTTATTCAAGAGATAAATATTTCAAACAAAATTAAATAATCAATAAATATACGAACATAGTGGCAAAGTCTTTTAGCATTTAAGTAAAACGGCCAATAGTCAATGTAATAATGAATGAAGAAAAACTTCAATTGTACAAAAGACTCAAATAGCTAGGATTTATATAATGACTAAAGTTAACGAAACATGTTTCCAGCAATCTTTGTCACTGATTGTTTAAATGTAATGTCTCAACTTTTACTTGATTATTCTGGTTTTTCTTCCTACTTTTCTAGAAGTCAACAATAGGTATAGTAACAAAATTTCTGTGTGTGAACCTTCAACTAATACATCTATGTTCTTTTATTTCTGCATATAACCTTTATACCATTACTTGTAAATAAACTTTAGAATTTTACTATAAAAAAAAATATATTCTAAAAGATTAAGAAGCATACATGTAATTGATCTTCATTAGCTACAGTGACATCTTTATTTAAAACGATTCTAGTAAAAGAAAAAATAATCACCTTTACCATTTTTTTCTTAGACGTCATACACGTCAATTGTTAGACCAACACAAATAGCATTTTATATGTGGAAGCTTTTGATTAAAAAAAAACAAACATATCAGAAATAAAATGATTAATTTACCTCTACTCTCTTTATATTTTTTTTTCTTTTTTCCTCTTACCTTTTTCTTCTCTTACTATTATTTTTCTTTGTTGAATATTCTTTTTCTTTGTTCGTATCAATATGTATTCTTTTTAATTATTTTGATTATAGCCCTACAAGTGTAGACCAATATTTATCATAATTTTCAATGCTACACCATGAAACGTTGTGAATTGGAAACGTTATTTTCAACTTAAATATCTATCTATCTTTGTCTAAAATATAAAAGCACTGTTGATCATTTCAGTTAAAAGCATAATAAAAAAATCGTAAAATATCTTCTAAATTCGAACGAAATGAATAGCAGAATAGGCCGTTTTGTCATATTGATCCGATGCTTTATAAACTCAGGATCTATGTAAGATTTGAATTTGAGTTTCATAAAAGATCTGATGAGAATGTTTTTTCGTCGAATTTCGATCTATAATATGCATGCAGCTAGAGACAATATCGTTTCTGTAGTAGCATTTGGCGACAAGAAGCAAGTGCTTCTGTTCTATTAGAGTGAATCTGAGTTTTTGAGCAACTTGATAATCTACTAGAAAGAATTGACCGGTAGAAAATTTTATTGATCATTTTCATCTACATATCAAAATCTTTTCGTCTTTATCATGTTTAACAAGAACAGAATTTCATGATATAGATCATGAGCATGGATTTACTGTCAGAAATTCAGTGTTTTTTTTTATAATTAGTCTCCGTAAGTAGAAAGAAGATATATACGAAACGAAGTTTTTTAGTGTGTTGCAAGAAAACTTTCCCAAAGTTTTTTTTCCTATTTAAAAACCTTCAATAGGGCAAGTTTTGATCAATAGTGAATATATAGTTGGTTATTTTTTGTGTTTTTGTCACAAAAAACCATCCATGTGACGTGCAACTGTTGTATTCTTATTAGCGTGTAATCTCGGTGGCTGTTTTTGTTTCATTATTTTCAACGGTTTCGGTAGACAATGCCTTTCATAGTTTTGTTTTTATCTTCCACATCAATC